GTGTGTGTGTGTGTGTGTGTGTGTGTGTGTGTGTGCGCGGTGAATTGTGATCGTGGATGTTGGAAGTTGAATGGAAGGGAAGCAACGATTGGGATCCGTGGAGTTGGAGGGAGTTTAAAGGCTAGAAAGGAGATGTAATTGGGTCAGACTGGTCTTCGGAGGAGGACAAAGTTGCAATCGCCACGACTGGCTAGAGGAGAGCAAGGGGGAGGGGCAGGTTCAGGACGACGATTGGGTCACGATGACGAGAAGGGGATCTGGCTGGATGGGATCATACTGTCAGCATGAGGAGCAGAAGCGCAGAGGACGGGAATGCAGATGACATTAAGGATCTTGAGAGTGCAGGGCACTGCAGGCAGCTTGAACGGTAGATGGAGGATATGTGATCTTGAACCTTGGGGTTGAAGCAAGCCAAAAGAGGAGGAGAGGGATAGGCTTGGGATGCTTTCTAAATTAAAGCGGGGGGGGAATCAAAGCAGGTACTCATTGCCTGGATGCTGTCTATCCTGGGGAGCATCAATGGTTCCTTTTTGGCCGTCGAATTCTACCTGTCTCCTCAATCCATCCCCACCCACCGCACCCGGTTCGTCCTCACCCTTTTATGAGGAAACATCGCTAATCATGGGTTCGTTCGGCCATGCTGCCCAGACGCTTCCATGGGTAATGGAACCCCTGATTAGTATTAATCCCCGCTTACAAAGGGGGAGGGTGAACCGAGTTGGAATGGCTTTAGGAGAAGGGTAGAATTTGCCGACCAAGCCGGAGGATAGGATGGGAAGGAGGAGTTGGATCCAATGGATTAGTAACTTAGTATGGCACCAAGCCAGAAGAGCAAGATGAGAAGGGCTTTGATCTCTGCTCTGCCGGATAGACGGCCACCACAAGACGTTATATTAAAAAAAAAAAGAGAAAAAAGAAGTGTTGCCGGTCACGATCATCGTTGGAGGAGCAAGCATTTAGCTGGAGGAGTAGGAGGGAACTTGGCAGAGAAAGAAGGGGAGGGGGCACGAGTAGAGGTAGGATTGCACCAGGACACATCGACGTGGATGAGAAGGGTGTATCTCAAGACCGAGGAATGTCACTGGTCCAAAAGCGGCGAGGGCGTCAAGGGCCCCCAGGGTGCGAAGCGTCCACAGGCGTCCTGTATCCATGGGCCCAGAGGGATGGTAGCCGCGAAGGGTCCCAAGGGTTGTGCATGCATGGCCCCAAAGGGATGGTGGTCCCAAGGGTCCAAGGCTCGTAAAGGTTCGGTGTGCATGGCCCCAGAGGGATGATGGCCCCAAGGGTGCCAAAGGTCCCAAGTGTCCCAAGCATCCTCCAGGCATGACCCGAAGGGGACGGTGGACCCAAGGGTGCCAAGGGTGTCTAGGGTCCAAAGCATCGCGAGGCTGCCAAGGGTCCCGATCGTCCTTTTATGAATGGCCCCAGAGGGATGGTAGTCCCAATGCTTGCAAGGGTCCTGCATCCATGGCGCCAAATGGTGGTCCCACCGTCCCAATGGTTTCAGTCCAGATGCTGCAATCATGACCGGGTGTTCTATTCGGGTGAAGACGGTGCGGACTTCCGTGGATGCATCTCTCCTCTTTGTCTGTCCGTCTGTCAGTTAGGCATCGGTCACAAAGTTGCCTTTCATAAGAGAATTACTCACACAGGGGAGTTTCCTTTTTTTTTTTTTTTTTCTGTTTGTCGCTTTCCATAATTACACCCAGCTCCTGTTGAGAAAGTTTGGGGAGCTTCCCGAACAGGAAAAAAGGAAAAAGAAAAGAAAGTTTTGGGGGTGTATATGCCCAATTCAGTCTGTCAGTCTGTCAGTCTGCCAGTCTGTCTTCAACTGTGCCTCTTAGTCGCCGCCATCTTTTTTTTTTTTTTTTTTTTCAGGAAGCTGC